TGATTGGCTGTGAGCGAGTGTGACACTCTGTCAATACTCTCCCTGTCTGTGTGAATGGAGGGTAATTTTCCAGATTGTTCTCTGGGGGAAACTCGTTTCCTTCGCTCTTTCATTGCGTGTCATTTTTAATTTGGCCTGCGGTGTGGAGCCCGGGCCGAGGCACAATGAGTCCTGCTGTTATTCACCCGCCGCTCGACCCGCCGCTCTGCTGCCAGAACAGCCGGCAGCTCCTCCGGGAGCAGAAACGCGTCCACCTCTTTTCAAAGGAGCAATCAGCGAGGATTTTACTGCTCCATGGCTCACAGACTGGGATACAATATATCTGCTGGGATCACCAGCTGCTCTCACTTTGTCTGGCCTGGAGCGAGTTCTGGGAGCACGTTTCATGACACATCCAAAACAGCCGAACGCTGAAGAAGAGAAAGTGCATCAGAGTTCATATAAGAGGGTAAACCTTTCACATATATTTATTCCTCTGCATCCTGCTGCCGTGGTGGATGTTCGCATTAAACATGGCCACATGATAACGAGGTCACCTGTGCACATAATCCATGTGAGCCAGAAGCTCAGGCTTCATTCAGGTGTAGCAGGAGGCGGGGCTAAAACATCTTAGACTGTCAGCCCTGCAGCACTACTCCAGCACGCTCGTTCCACTCACACATTTTGAGCACTCCCACCTCTGCACTGTGGTAAATCTGCTGCACACGAGCGGATTTCAAACCGTCTTCACAGCTTGATGCTCTGCACGAGTGTGATTTGGGGTGAACTGGTGTGGACGTGCCTGTTCGCCCTCTGATAAGTGTGGCTTTGGCTCTAGTATTGTGGGGACTTGGTAAGCAGGCAGTCAGGGGTTCTTCCTCCACGACAGTCTGAGCATCAGTAACTTCCTGTCGTCAGGCTCTCGGGAATCCTCTTTCACTTTCAAATAAATATTCTCTGCTTTCCTTCTCTAATATTATCCCTGCTGAATCAGCATGCAGACACGCTCTACTCTTTTGTGTTTGCTTTTGTGTTCTGCAAAGTGCAAAAAAGTATTAAAATTTTTTACTTAATTAAAAGTTATAATCTTTTTAAGTAGCCTAATAGCTGAGTGGTTGTGTATTCAAATATATGATGATGTTGCTGGGCTATAATTATAGATTTACTGATGTGTATATCTTTAATGTTCCAGCTGATGATGGTTTTAATCACTAATATATTGTTTAGCAGATCGATCATGCAGTGATTTCACTCAAAATGTAAAGTGTGTGGAAATACTTCAATGAAGTAAAAGTACATAAAACCTGAGTAAATGTTCCTGTCTCATCCAACATGGTGGGGGCTAAAAGAGGAGCAGTGCTCCAGCTTTCAGGGAGGGCAGGTGCCACCTCACGCCCACTTCTAGACACGCCCCTGGGCAACAGTGAAGGATGCAAACTGCTGACTGAGGTCACGACAGTGAGATTAACCCTAAAGGTTAAATGACTGATGCTGGTGTTGAACAAAGCAGAAGAAAGGAGAGCTGTGGGACGGTCATGAAAGGCTGAACAGGTGAGTCTAAAATGTTCCTGTATCAACGCCATCGACCTTCTCCAGGATGAGTAACAGGAGTCGTGTTCCCTGCAGTGTCTTAGTGTGTAGATGCTGCCCTCTAGTGTTGATCTGCAGCAGTGCAGAGCAGGAACACTGAGGGTAAAACTTTGGAGATCTTCTCTTCACTGCAGCTTCTTGGAGAAATGACCGACAGCAGGTTGATAAACCAGCAGTTTGTCACATGATAAATACTGAAATCACATTTAAATCATTCATAAAAAACATTAACAAGACCTCATGAGAAGGGAAACCCCTTTAAGTCGTCCTCAGAGGTGACAGGAGACACTCCC